AGGGGAAAGAGGAGGAGGAGGAGGGGAAAAAGGAGGAGGAGGTGGAGTAGGGGAAAGGGGAGGAGGAGGAGGAGGAGGGGAAAAAGGAGGAGGAACAGGGGAAAGAGGAAAGGAGGAGGAGGAGGAGGACGAGGGGGAGGAGGAGGGGAAAGAGGAAAAGGAGGAGGAGGAGGGGAAAGAAGAGGAGGAGAAGAAGGAGGAAAATTCTTAATGAAAAATGAAAGAATTTTCCCACTGAGGTGGTAAAAGTTTTCCATGAGAATGGATACCGACCACTGCCTCTGCCCCTTGTTCTTTCCATTTTTCCTTGGGCTATGTTTAGATGGGGGTGAGCTAGGAGTTCTTAACTTCCCTTTTGGTGCTCACCCAGCTGCCAGATGGAGTGGCCTGAAGCTGAGGTGGGTTGAAAGGCTCTCATCTCCCCTTCTGTCCAGGATAAGGTAGGATGGCCTGGGCTGTTTTCATTAGACCTTTGTCTAGACAGATCAGATAGAACATTCCCAGTGTGTTGCTGCTGCTACAGTGTTCTAAGTTCTAAGTGGAGATTTCTGCAGCTGGGACTTAGTGAAGGAGGAGAAGAAAGAGGAGGAAGAGGTCTCAGGGGCTTTGTTGGGTGATACCACCTTTGGAGAGATTAGATCAACACACCACTAGGGCCTAGCAGTTGCTGATCTCTGTTGGGGTCTCCATCTCAGGAGCCCCCCCAATAACCCTACTCCTGGGGCAGGGAGCCAGTCCTCCACACTCTGCTGGCCACAGTGAGGCCTTGGGCTTAGTCCCCCAGGGCATTCACACCTGCCTTTTCAGTTTCCCGTCTCTCTTCAGCTGGCCACAGGAGCCCTCAGACCCAAAGGGAGAGTGAGTTGGGCTACCCACTGTGTCTCTGACTTGAGCCCCTGGGTACAACCTTCCCTGTGCCCACTTCACTCGCATTTTGCGTGGTACACCCTTGGCCACACAGTGGGTGCTCAGGAGAATGAATGTGTGCTCTGGTCTCCTGGGTTCTCTCAGCAGCAGGCTGCAGCAAGGTCTGCCCAGGCGGCTCCCCACCTCAGCTCTCCACTTGCTGGTTGAGAGTACTTTCCAAAGACCAATTCACTGTGTAGGCTCTGGATCAGCTAAGCTCAGCTGCTTTTCTGATCAACAGGTGCTTCCAGGCCAATCAGTCCCCATATTTCTGTGTGCTAGCCCACTCCTCTGAGGTGAACCAGTGCCCCATGGCTCTACATCTGGCTTGGCTCCCTTGTACTCTTTCTTGTCCTTTGTTCAGTGTACCTGTTTCTGAGTCTCTAAGATTGTCTGTTGATGAATTTCAATGATATCTCCTTTCACCCATCTCACGGAGCAGCAGTATTCATGCTGCTTGAATCCCAAGACATGGAGCAACTAGGAACGAAACCTTCCTCTATCTAATCCACGGTCTTGAATCTCACTGAATTTAAAACCTAATAGGAAACTTAAGCAGCAGACTTCTTCACCGATGAAGAGAAGATTTGTGAACTGGAGGAAAATTTGAGGAACTAACTCAGAACTCATCCAGGAGAAAATAAAAGCATTTCTGCATATTAAAAATCACAAGTTCCAAGATGGCCTAATTGAAACCGCAAGCTCCCCTCCTCCTCCAAAAACCAAGGTAGTAGGTGCATAAGCTGCATCTTGAGGTAGGTGACTGTGTGAGAACTGTAGCTGAGGGAAGGAGAGGCTGGACCTTGGGAGCCTTGGAGACTAGGGACAGCACACAGAACGGGCAACAAGCCCCCAGCAACTGTGACCTGGCTAGTCATCCAGGGTCGTTCCAGCTGGAGGGAAGTCTCAGGACAGACTTGCCGCCCAGTCGGGGGAGCTGGCATCATGAGAACATGACAGTACTTCATAAAATTGTGAACTTCCTGGTCTTATTTTAACACATAACATTGGGTAAGGCTGAGTAAACAAGACTCAAGAAATTCAAAACAATTTAAATCATATTGTATATCTTTTCTGACCAAAATGAAATAAAACTATAAATAAACATCAAAAGAAGCTATAGAAATTCATGGAAACTTAACATGCTACTGAATGAATAGCAGGCCATTGACAAAATAAAAAGGGAAAATTGTAAGTGTGCTGAAACAAATGACAACAGAAACACAACATGTGAAAACTCACAGAATGCTCAAAGAAGTACCAAGAGGGAAGAATGCAGCCATACGTGGTGCATTAACAAAGCCTGACACAAAATAAAAGGCTGATGTTGGTCTCAAGTTCCAGGAGAGACAGCAAACCAACCCAACACTAGTGGAAGGAAATAAATAATAGGTCAGAGGATGCAGAGCAAGATGGCACTAAGACTGATGATCAACTCCCCAAAGACTTTTAGTTGAAGAACTGTTCATACCAAACCACCTCCACAAGGGCTAAGGAAATGGGGTGAGAGGTCCTCTGCCTGCTTCAGTTGAATATAGCAGGGAGGAAGAGAACCACAACTGCCTTGGACGTGAAACCCACAGTCAGCCCAGCCACCCACCCACTATGGTCTATTCACATGGTGGGTCTTGATTCCAACCCAGAGGGAGCTGAAGTCTGTCAGCTGAAGGAGCCCACCCTGTGGTGGACCAGTTAGTTTCTCCTTTGGCTGACAGACTTCAGGTTCCCTCTGGGATGGAATAAACTCACCTGTTCAGCTCATGAACCCCTGGAATACGTCCACTGTGGGCTGCTTGAAGAGTTCTGCTGTTCAGTGTTCCCAGGATCTAGGTGTGCCTGCCCTTTCCATCAACCAGGATGCAGTCCAACCGAGGAGCTGCCTGCTTACAGGGCAACTGCCTGTCAAACCACCTGGGGCTCCACAGCGTGCTCACAGTGCCCCCATTCCCATTCCCAAACCCCAAGGGTCTCCTTGTCTGCACATCCTTGACAATACTTGTTACTGGCCATCATGGAGTAATATGGATTGTAAAATTAACTCGTAAAAGTCTGCAATAATAAAACCAAAAAGCCTCCCTGGGATTTCCTAGGGATGGAGTTGAATCTATACACCAGTTTGATCAATCTCTGACACTTCCTGAAATTGTGAACCTCCCACACAATAAAATGAGTGATTCTTGGTGCCCACCTTCCCTGCCTACCCCAGGGCCGTACTTCCTCCTTTACACAGTGGGCCTGAGCTCACCTGGGAAACTCACAGGGGTCAGGATGGCTGGGGAAGCACAGTGCTGGACTCAAAGCAGGGCAGAGAGTATCTGCGGAATGAGTGAGTGGAAGAGGGAGTGCCAGACACCCAGGGGCAGGATCCACAGGGCACAACCCTCTCCTTGGGGGGCATCAGCCATTGTGTACAAGTCTGCAGTGGGAAAACAGAGTGTCTGCCTATGCTTCCTGCACTGGCCCCTCCACCTGTGAGGGCCACCTGAGGAGGACATGCGGGGAGGTTGCTCCATACAGGAATCAGCACAAGGGTCCCACTGGTCATTTCTCAGGTGACTTGCTGGGTAACCATCCCAGGACTGTTACACTGATGACCCGTTAGCAGCAATGCAATTGTCAGATGTTTTATGAGAGTATCTGTGAGGTTGTGCATGCTTAGTGGATCCTTCCTGACCAGATGTTAAGACATTTCCATGTCAAAGAGTAAAATCTCAGCTCAGCCCCCTCAGTGAGAACAGGCCCTTTGGGAGAGCACCTCCTGAGTGGAGAGGGAGTGTTCCGTTCTGCGAACTCCCTCAGGAGGTGAAGTTGAACATGGCCTCAGGGCCTGCTTCTGAAGATTGTTTGGGGTGAGGACAGTAGGGGCCATTTATCCTGCCTGGGACACCCTGCCCCTCTCCTACCATGGCTGTGCCTTCCTGGGCCCTGCACACACCTCGAGAGCTCAGAGGATGGGACTGTAGTTAGTGGTGCCAGGGTATGGGGTGAACATAGCTGAGATGGGATGTACTCCTAGGGGAGGGAAATCACCGTCTTCCTTTAGGTCTCTGATTCTCATCTGGAAAATGGGTATTTGATGACCCTGATGTGCAGGCATGGTGTGTGGCACTAGGTTTAGGCGGGAGAACATGCGAGAGAGCTTGCTACTGGTACTCTCAGGGCTGTGGCACCGTGAGGCAGGTGTGAGTTCACATCACAGGTTCCAGATGAGGTCAGGCTGGAGAGACCAGGCCACAGCCTGAGGTGACACTCCGAGTGCTGGATCTGGGAGCATCACTGTACCTGGCTCACCCACTTATCCAGGGCCCACAGTCAAGGGTCAAGTACTAACCAGTGCAGGGAATTTTCATTACCTTTTCTCTGACCATGGTTGTGGAGCACCTCAACCTGGACCCCCTAGGGATGAACCCCAGGCAGTCCAGAAGAAAAAGCAGCAGCAGGTGAGGGCCTTGAGGTGGGGAGAGGCCTCCAGATCAAGAGAGCAGGTGAGCTTTCTCCTTCAGCTCTTCCCTTCTGCTGTGGCTAGGAGAGGTGCCTCCAGCAAAGAAACTGGGCAGGAGCAGGGCGAGCTGGCTCATGGTGACTTGGGTGAGGTGTGGCTGGGATCCATGGTGGAGGTGACTGGGGGCGATGTGGCAGGAGTCAGGACAGGATCCTGATGGTTAGGGAGCCTGTACAGAGCCCTCAGGTCTCAGGGCTTGGAACCTTTTCCCTGAGCCTCACAGATACCCCACCAGCCTGCCCACTGTGATTGCTGGGCCTGTACATAACACTAGCCTGCTCTCAGGTCTCAGGGCTTGGAACATCCTCCCTGAGCCTCACAGACACCACACAAGCCTGCCCACTGTGAGCGCTGGGCCTGCACATGACACCAGCCTGCTCTCCTCATGGAGAAGATCAAGGGCTGCCTGAGGAAAAAAGTACAGGACAGCGGCTAAGCTGGGCTGTGTGCCTCTCAGGCAGTGCCCAGGGAAGGAGACTCAGGTGGGTACTCCAAAGTCAGGAAGGTCCAATGTGGACAACAATATGGGCACTGTTTCTTTGAGGCTTCAGTTTCCCTGGTCCCTTCTACAGAGCCCAAAGCTGGATGCAAGTCCAAGGCCTTTTCATTCACACTGTCTGATCTCCTGACCCTGGCATGAGGGTGGTGAGGATGGGACTAGGAATGCTTCAGGGGGCTTTCTGATGGACTTAGATCTGCCTGCCTTCCAGAGCAGTCTTATTAACTTTCAGGAAATGAAGGAGAGCAGTGGGACCCGGAGTCTAGGGACAGTGGAAATGTGAGAGACCCCCTGGCTGGGTGAGGTGGCACAGGCCTTCCTGTAATCCCAGCTGCTGAGGAGGCCAAGGAAGGAGAATTACAAGTTCAAAGCCAGCCACAGTAACTCAGAAAGGCCCTGAGTAGCCTCTATGGCATTCCTGATGCAAGCCTAGTCAGCATCCATCTGCTTCTTTGTTTTGAGATGGGATCTTGCTATGCCACCTGCTTGCCTCCTTCCAACTGCAGTGACTCTGTACATAATGATAAGGACCCTCTGACAGGCAGTATTTTCTGGTATATAGTCAAATATTTTAAAATAATCTCCAATACTATATTCAACACTTTCATTGGAAAATTAACATACAAATTACATATACTGATAATTTCCTTCATTACAAAGTTTATACATAAAAAGTCAGGTGTGTTAAAAGCTTTTACAAGTTAAAGAAATGTATGAAGGTTTACTTTATTCATAAAGTGTTCATGAAAGTTACCTGCCTGATAAGACATTCTCAATTTGTTATTTTTCCATATGATTGTTCCTATTTTCCATAAGCTGACTTGGGAATCAAAGGTGACAGTACAGGTTTCTCTCATGTGGGAATTTTTGCAATATAAAAAGAGAGGTAACTTCTCTCAGAAACTTTATAAAGTGAATTAACTACAGTGGGTTTGCAATGAAATGCAAATAGCTCATGCACTGGTCCAACAGAGTATTTCTTGCTCATGTGAAATAAGAATGGAGCATTCTGGGATACAAGTGGAAAGACCTCTGCTCTCTCCAATAAATTACATTTCTCTTAAGTCCCAGTGCCTGTATCTCTGGCTCTCAAGGCCAGCCACCTGGTATGTCATGCTCACATGAGGCCCAGGATGCATGAGAACTCAGGGAGCAGAACCTGATGAAGTTCTGGGCTGGGCTGGGCTGGGCTGGGCTGGGCTGTGGGGAATGACTGCCACAGGTACACATTCTGCTGTGCAACTCAGCTCCAGGGCCCACACAGGAGAGGCGCCCCCTGGAGGCTGAGCACCCCAGAGAGAACTGGATTCTGGGGACCACAGAGCCTGCTGCGGGGACTTCTCTCTCTGGCATCCCTGGCATCTGCTGACATGTGCCTTCTCGCTAACTCTGTCCCCACACTTGCTCACTGTGGGAGGATTCCCCTGTGTGCATTTTCTGATGCCTGGTGGAAGAGCTCTCCATATACATCATATTCGTGCCATCTTCCCCAGGTGTGTTCTCTGATGGACAGTGAAGGATGACTTACGGTAGAAAGTTTTCCTGCATTCTTGACATTCATACTGCTTCTCATTCTGGTGAGTCATCTGATGCCTGCTGAGGTATGACTTCTGGTGAAAGGCTTTTTCACACTCGCCGCACTCATAGGGTTTCTCGCCTGTGTGGGTTCTCCGATGCACAGTGAGGTGTGACTTGCAGTAGAAAGCCTTCCTGCAGTCCTCACAGACATAGGGCTTGTGGCCTGTGTGAGCCCTCTGATGGACGGTGAGGGAAGACTTATGCAGGAATGTCTTCCTGCACTCTTCACAGGTGTACGGCTTGCTGCCCGAGTGAGTTTTCTGATGCACAGTGAGGGATGACTTGTGAAGGAAAGCCTTCCTGCAGTGCTCACACTCATAAGGCTTCTCGTCTGTGTGAGTTCCCTGGTGCGTGCTGAGGTGGGACTTTTGATAGAAGGTTTTCCCGCACACATCACACTCATAGGGCTTCTCACCCGTGTGCGTTCTCTGGTGCACGGTGAGGTTAGACTTGCGGTTGAAAGTCTTCCTGCATTCCTTACAGGCATAAGGCTTGTCACCCGTGTGAATTCTCTGGTGCACAGTGAGGTGTGACTTAGAGTAGAAAGTCTTCCTGCAGGCTTCACACGTGTAGGGCTTCTCACCCGTGTGACTCCTCTGATGCACAGTGAGATCTGATTTACAGTAGAAGCTTTTCCTGCACTTCTTACACTCATAGGGCTTCTCACCTGTGTGAGTTCTCTGATGAATCGTGAGGGACGACTTATGGTAGAACGTCTTCCAGCATTCCTTACACCCATAGGGTTTCTCGCCTGTGTGTGTGCCCTGGTGCCTGCTGAGGTGGGACTTCCGGGAAAAGGATTTCCCACACATACTGCACTCATAGGGCTTCTCCCCTATGGGAGTTCCCTGATGCCTGCTGAGGTGTGACTTCTGGGGAAAGTGCTTTCCATATTCGTAACCTTCAAAGGGTCTTGCTCTTCTGTGAGTCCTCTGGTGCCCAGTAGGTCGTGTCTTCTGACAAAAGTTCTCACATTCATTGACTGTATGGGGCTTTCCCTCTGATTCTGATTGTGACCTGTGGAGTTTCGTAAGGTATGGCTTCTTAACCAATAGCTTCTTGCCACCACTACATTCATCACATTTCAGTCTTCTCTGTATTTTCTTATGTGCATTGACTTTAGAGTTTTTACAGAAAGTTTCCCCACACATATTACATTCTGAAGTTTTCTCTCTTACCTGAGTCATCTCTTGGGCAGTAAGTGCCACCTTATCCAGGGTTTTTCCACCTCCACTGAGTGTGCTGGAGGCCTCTCCCACATGAAGCTTCTTCAGTGTCCACAATGCCTTCACTGTGAAGGATTTCCCCTGTCCACCGTGATGGAACTGCTGCTGCCTACTTTGAACCTTTAGTAGACTTCTTTGATCAGGATGCCTGGGGGGCTTCTCAGGAATGTTAAGACCACTAGGCTCCTCTCCATCCTGCACCTCCTCAGGCTTGCTAGGGAGAAGCTCCTTCTGCCACACATTAAGCCCCTCTGGCCCACTCTTTGGAGCTGGACTTGAAACCTGCTTTGAGCTCAAGTTAAACTTTGTTCCTAATGTGAACCTCTCCTCAGTTGAGGTGCTGCTGTTGGGGAGTACAATTTGCCAGAAATGCCTCTCTTGCTTTTCCTGGCTGATCTCATTCAGGCCATTCACTTTCTGGACATCTAAAATGATACAAAAAAGAACAATATTCATGAAAAACACATGAGCATTTGCTATGAAATTCAAACACAAAGAAGTGCCTTCTTATCCTAATGACGTGAAACTGCAAAATAACTGTGTTGATTTATGAGTGTTTTGGCCCTAATGAATGTAAAAATTATAATTAATAATTTTAGTATCTATCATGTTACTTTGTTGCTTGAGGTTACTTTATTCTTCTGAAATGTAGGAAGATATTTGGTTAAAACACTCACCGAATGCCTAGCTGAAGGTTTCACTGGTTTCATCTGTTATTTGTTCTGTTCTTTTTCTCTAGTTCTTTCTTACAACATTTGTAGATATAATTCCACCCTGCTGTGCTTCTCTTTCAGGTTTTTAGTGGCCAAGTTTTCTTGGGTTAGCTACTTACATCATGCAGGCATGGCTGATCTGTCTCTCACCTGAGCAGGAATATAGTTTAGGAAAGAACTGCTATCTTTGTGTTTTAGTTTTTACTTTTCCCTAAGGAAATGTAGTAGAAACCTTTGGGGTTTTAAGAATTCAAGTTACCCGTCCCACACTAAAGACAGCTTCCACTTAATTCCTAATCTAATGTATCTATGCTTCTCAGGAAGCTCCAATCCATCTTCTTGCTGGAATATAAAGGATTTGGCTCAGTAAACCAAGCTGAACCTGCCATCTTTGAAATGTATGTTGTTTGTATCAGTTGTTCCTACTGCCTTTCTGGCTCAACACTAATGGCATCCTCTCCCAGTCCCAGGCACATGTACCCTGGCTGGCAGCTCACTGCTTCTGTAGGCTTTTGTGTTTGGAGGTTCAGCCGTCTTCTACTTTCACAGAAAAGAGAGTCTCCTGTACAAATCTATTGTCTTTGAATGATTTCCACAGCATGAAGGGTAAAGGCTAAGTACAAATTCCATTTCCCAACAGACACTGAAGCCTTTCAACATGAAGTTCCTGATTCCCTTGGCCTGCAGACCCAAAGTCTCCCGGTTGTCCTCCCAGTCCAGGACTATCAATTCGCATACTTTTATGCTGGGTGTTCCTCACCTCATGAGTCCTGATGTGGTGCACAAGGCTCCAGCCTTGGACCTCTCTTCTGATTTTCTTATCCATTCCTTAGGTGACAACCTGAATAACTATGATGTAAATACTAGCATTAGGCTATTGATTTCCAAATCTGTATCTCCATTATACTCATGACCAGTCTCAAAATCTAGATTTTACATCTACCTATGTTTTATATACCAAACTTGGAAAACATCATCTCAAAATGAGCCCAAGGGATGACAATTTCCTTAAAACTTTCTTCTCTTTACGTTTCTAAAATCATAACAACATGTTTTTCTTTCTCTCATCCTAATAAAATATTCTTTGTGGCTCTTACTGCCAAATATTATATACATGTGTTATATTTTTTTCCTCAACAAAATGTAAAGAGAAGATGCATTTGTTTCATTAATGTTGTTATCCCCACAGTTTAAAAAAACACTGCCTATAAAGTGATCAACTAGCAAGTGCTAAAGAAATAATGTGAATAAAATGCCTGAAACAGTAGGCTATGAAACTGGAGGAAAGAAAAGTAACCAATCAAAATGTCAAGATCCATATGGGGGTTGGGGGTTTGGGAAAATTTAATGAAGCACACATTATGAGAACATAAACATGGGTGTACATGAGAGAGCACTCCTTGGAGACTGTACAAAGGAAGGGGCTGAAGCACAAGACCTGCTTCCTCAGGATTGGGACCTGAGGAAACACAGATGAAAACAGCTCAACATGGCTGGTGTCTGTGGGGCTCTCCTTCTGGTCTCCCTGCGCAGCATGCACTGACTGACCTGGGAGGCGCTGGTGTGAGGCTTCGCCTACTGTCCACGGCCCAGCACCTTGCTCCAGCTTGAAGATCACCTCAGGTTTTGCGATGCAGTGCCCTGTTAACAGAAAACAGTGAAAGATTTGTGCCAGGCTGCTTGTCAGGTGCACTTAGGGATGACACTGCCTTTCGGGAGCTGTGCAATGAGACTGATCTAAACACTTTGTGAGAGCATCTCACTCACATTATTATGGTCTGGAACAATGTACTGGGGCAGAATTAAACAGCTGGAGAAAGAATTCAATGAATGATTTTTAAGAAAACTGAGGAGACAGAAGAATACAGATGGACAATACAAAGAAGTTAGAAACACATGTTATGAAATGTAGAAGAAATTGGACAAAGACATAGATGAAATAAAAAAGAACCAATCAGAAATCAGGGGAGATAAAAAACTCAATAAAATTAGAAAGAAGAAAGGGAAAAACATAAGCAAACAAGTCAGCTAAAAGCGTAAACAGCATAATTGATCAGAAAGAAGAATCAGTTTCTGATCTTGGAGACAGGTATTTTAAAATAATCATGTCGGATCTTAAAAAGAAAAAGTTAAGAAAAACGAAGAATGCCTTTAAGACTTTTGATCATAAAGAAAGCAAAAATTTGCATTATAGGTATTCCAGACAGAGAATAGACAGACATTTAAAAAATATATGCAATGAAACAACTTGTCAAACTTTTTAATCTGGGAAACATATGGGCATTCAGTCCAGGAAGCTCCCTTATGAATTTTAGCAAAAATGGTCCTTTGAGTCATGATATAGTAAAACTGTCAAAACTATAAGACAAAGGGAACTGTGAAAACTGCAAGAGAAAAACATCAAGTTACCTACCAAAAAAAAATAAATAAATAAAGAGAGACCCCCATTAGAGAAGCAGTAGATTCTCAACAGAAACCTCACAGGATAACATTGAAAGTTCTGGGGGGAAAAATGCTAGCCAAGACTATGTACCCAGAAAAGCTATCCTTCAGAAATAAAGAAGAAAGACTTTCCAAGACAAGCAAAAGCTGAGGGAATTCTTCACCATCAGATGTACAAAAGTGCTTAAGGGAGGAGGAGTCCTACACTAGAAGTGAAAGGATGATAACTACCATCAAGACACACAGAGTACAGAGCATACAAAGAAAAAGAATAAATCCCTATCAATACAGGAAATCACCAAACGAGAATTAACCAGAGAGGAAGAAATGAAACGGATATTCAAAACAACCAGGAAAGAAAATAACAATGACAGGAGTAAGTCTGTACATATCAGTAATAACCCTGAATGTGTAAAAAGAAGAAATTTCCCAAGAGATGACTGAAGGGATAAAAAGAAAACTAGATGCAATGATATGCTGCCTTAAAACCACTTCACAAGGGCAGAGCACAGGGACTGAAAGTGAAGGGGTGGAGAAGGATATGCTCTGCAAATAGGAACCACTTGGAGGAAGATACACCTATACTTGCATCACACAAAGCATATTAAATCAAATCTGCATTATAGAATGCACTACACAGTGATAAAGGAATCAGCAACTGTAAGGACACATACACCCCATGTTGGAGCAATCATTTATAACGCACACATTACTAGATCTAAAAGGAGAAGCAGACGCTAATACAGTATACATGGGGACTTCAACAGTCAGGTCGTCTGGGTAATCAAGGAGCAAAGAAATACTGGTGTTAAACCAGGCCACAGACAAAATGAACCTACAGACACTTCCAGAGCATCTCACCCAATGGCTGAAAGATATACATTTTTCTCATAAGCATATTGAATGTTCTCTAGGGTAGATAAAATGTTAGGAGACAAAATAAGTCTCTACAAATTAAAAAAAAATTAAAATCATGCTATGTGTCCTTCTCTGACTATGATGGAAAAAAACAGATGTTGACAATAAAATACACATTAGAAATTTGACCAATATGTGGAACTAAATAGTCTTTGAATGACTGATTGGTAAGAAAGAAATTAAAATGCAAATTTTAGAATTTATTGAGATAAATGAATTTGAAAAACACAGTAGCCAAAACCTATGGGTACAAAATCAGTACTATGGAGCAAAAATGCCACTAAAGGGGAAGTTTACAGCAATAAGTACCTACATCCATACAAAACAAAACAAAAATAAAAAAAAATTGAGACTGAAAACAAAACAAACAAAAAAAGAATACAAAGGACCAATAAAATAAAGTTTTTCTTTTCTTTTTTAAGATAAATGAAACTGACAAATTTTTAGCTAAGCTAACCAAGGAAGAAAGAAGATTCAAATAAATTACAATAGACATGACAAAGAACACATTTAAAGTGAAATCACAGAAACACAAAGGACTATTAGCAACTATACACCAATTGAAAACCTGGAAAATATGGATAACTTGCTGGACATACAACCTACCAAAATTGAACCACGAAGACATAAAAAATCTGAACAGACTAATAATTCACAATGAGACTAAATCCCGAATGAAAAAGCTCCTGACAAAGTAAAGCCCAGGAAGGACTGGAGAGTTTCACTGGTAAATTGTGTCAACTTTTAAAGAAGAACTAACATGAATTCTAAAGTTATTCCTAAGTCTTGAAAGGGAGGGAACACTCCAAACTCAATAAATTAGAACAGCATTACCCTTGATATCAAAAGACACAACAACAAAAATAAACAAACAACAACAAAAAAACAAAACTAAAGACCAATAATCCAAGGAGATGAACATGAACGCAATTCTCAACAAAATGTTAACAAATAAAATTAAAGAGGACACAAGATCATACACCATGATCATATGTGACTTATCCCAAGGATGCAACACTGGCTCAATATATGCAAATCCATAAATGTAATTCATCATATCAACAGAATGGAGAATTAAAACTATATGCACAAGCAACAATAAGTGTTGGCAAGGATGTGAGGGAAAAGGTACACTCATACGTTGCTGGTGGCACTGCAAATTGATGTAACCACTCTGGAAAGCAGTAAGGAGGTTCCTTAAAAAACTGGGAATGGAACCACCATTTGACTAAGCTATCTATACCACTCCTGGGTCTATATCCAAAGGACTTAAAATGAGCATACTATAGTGATGCAGCCACGTAACATTTATAGCAGCTCAATTCACAGTAGCTAAACTGTGGAAGCAACTTAGATGCCCTTCAATAGATGAATGGATAAAGAAACTGTGGTATACATACACAATGGAACATTCTCAGCATTAAAAGAGAATAAAATTATGGCATTTGCAAGTAAATGGATAGAGTTGGAGAATATCATGCTAATTGAAGTAAGCCAACCCCCAAAACCCAAAGACCGAATGTTCTCTCTGATAAGGGGATGCTCATCCATAATGGGGCAGGGTGTGGGTGGGCATGGGAAGAATGGAGGAACTTTGGGCAAAGGGGAGGGAGGGGCAGAGAGGAGACTTGGAGGTAGCAAAAAAACCCCACAAAACAATATGCATATCTCAACAGACACAAAAAGGAAGATCATAAAATTCAACATCCTTTTATTAATACAACTCTCAAAAACTTAGAAGGAATATACCTTAGTGCCATAGGGGCTAAATATGACAAACCCATGGCCTACATCTTTTTATTTCTTTAATGGACACAATACCTTTATTTTATTTATTCATTATTTATTTATTCATTTTATTTTATTTTTTTAGAGAGAGAGAGAGAATTTTTTAATATTTATTTTTTAGTTTTCGGCGGACACAACATCTTTGTTTGTATGTGGTGCTGAGGATCAAACCCGGGCCGCACACATGCCAGGCAAGCGTGCTACCGCTTGAGCCACATCCCCACCCCCAATTCATTATTTATTTTTGTCTGGTCCTGAGAGTCAAACCCAGTGCCTCACATGCTAGGCAAGTGCTCTGCCACTGAGCTACAACTCCAGCCCCAGCCTACATCTTAATGAATGGGGAAAACCTAAAATTGTTTCCTCTAAAATATGTAGTAAGAAAAGGGTCTACTTTTACCACAATTATTTAACATAGTACTGGAAATAAGACAAGTGAACAAAATAAAGGGCATGCAGATCAGAAAGGAGGTCAAACTGTCCTTATATACAAATGACATGATTTTGTATTTACAGGAAAACCTAAAGATTCCAACAAAAAAAAACTGTTAGAATAAATAAATGAATTCAGTATGATTTCAGGGAACAAAATCAACATAAAAATCTGTAGTTTTTAAAATACAATAATGAAATTGCTGAGATTAAAAAACAAGAAAACAATCCCATTCATAATAGCTACTGAAAAATAAAACATTTAGAATAAATTTTACCAAGCAACTGATGAATCTCTATGCGAAAATTATGAAATACTGAAAGAAATTAAAGACAAACACGTGCGCGCGTGTGCGCGCACATGCGCAGAGAAGGACAAACCAGTGTTATAAATTGGGAGAGCATTTACTGGGAAAAAAGAGTTCTAAACTTTATATGGATGCACAAAAGATCCTGAATAGTAAAAGCAATTATGAACAAAATGAACAAATCTGGAATTAGTATAAAAGCTGTCTTCAAAACACACCACAAAGTGACAATAACAAATACATCAGGATACTGGCATCAGAAAAGACAAATAGGCCAATGGAACATGAGAGAGAAACCAATAGTAAATCTATATATTTACAGCCAACTGATTTACACGAGGGGCAGCATAAGCATATATTGAGAAAGGAAGCTTTCTTCAGTAAATGCTCGGAAAACTGGATATCCACGTGACGATGGAAGATATTAGACCCCACCTCTCACCACATAAAGAAATCAACACAAAACATATTAAAAACTTCAATATTAAGACTTGAAATTATGAAACTGCAAAGGGAAAACAGGGGATTTCACTTCAGGACATTGATCAAAGCAAAGTTTTTGTTTTTTGATATGGGATCTTGTTATGTTTGCACAGGCTGGTCTCAAAACTCCTGGGCTGGACTGACTCTTCCACTTTATCCTCCTGAATGCTGGGACTAAGGCATGCACCAGCAAGCCCTATGCAAAAAATTTTTTTGACATGACCCCAAAAGCACAGACAAAAATAGCAAAAACTGATAAATTAGATTATATCAAAGTAGGTTGAGTGCAGTGGTGCATGCCTGTAATCCCAGCAGCTCAGGAGGTTGAGGCAGAAGGATTCTGAGCTTAAAGCCAGCCTCGGCAATGGCAAGGTGCTAAGCAACTCAGTGAGATCCTGTCTCTAAATAAAATACAAAATAGGGCTGGGGATATGGCTCAGTGGTCAATTGTCCCTAAATTTAATCCCCAGCACCAAAACAACAACAACAACAACAAAAGATTATGTCAAACTAAAAGGCTTCTGACAAAAAAAACATTTAGCAGAGTGTATAGTCAATGCATCTAATGCAGAAAATATTTACCATTTACCCCAAAAACATTAATTTCTGGAATATATGAGGAATTCAACAGCAGAGAAATAAACCAATTAAAAACTGAACAGATGACCAGAATAGGCATTCTCAAAAGAGGACACAAACAATCCACAAGTATATGACTAAACCTCCAGGTCTCTAATCAGAACCCGGAGGAGGCATTAATGCACTGCAGTCTGCAGTCAGCAGTCAGCAGTCAGCAGTCAGCAGTCAGCAGTCAGCAGTCAGCGTGGCTATTATCAAAATGATACAATGTAACACAGGCCTGTAGGATACAGAGGAAGAAGTGCTCTCCCATGCTGTGGGTGGGAATGAGAAAGAGAGATGCTATGAAAACCAGCAGGAAGTTTTCTCAAAAAATTAGAAATAGAACTACCACATGATACAGTCAGTTGCCCATAGCCAAAGGAGGCGAACCCAGTGCTTTGAAGAGAAAACTATTGTGGGAAGCCATTCTTGCACGTGATTTGAGTTACCTCCCTGGCTGGATGAGAGGTGCTTAGACACAGCTGTGTCAGAGCCTTCCCCACCCTGTCCCAGGTGCGAGGGCTTGTCCGTGTGGAGGGTGTGCCTGACCACTGATCCGAAGACCAATCAATGACCCTTACCTTGGACCCCTCGACCTTCACTGGATGGAATTTTCCCTTGAATTTTTTGTTCCCCAATAAAAGCTCACTCCCTGGCATGTTCCCTCTCTCTCGCTGGCCTCTCATGTTAACCTCACCACCACATTAGGTGGCTGGAGGCAGGAGCTAGGAGGAGCTGTCTCTGGGCTGGGCAAATAAGGAAATGAGAATTATGTCTCTTTAATTTTAAAACTCACTAGTTAATTTTTATGCTTCGAACCTCTATTATGAAGCTAGCGTGCTGGTCGCGTGGCTGAAACTATGCTTAGCACATTTACTGCAGTACTATTCACAAAAGCCATGATGAGGATCAACTTCGGTATGCATGGACAGATGAAAGGATAAAGAAAACTCGGTACACATACACATTTAGAAAACAAAATTCCATCATTTGTAGCAACATGAATGTAACTAAAGAACATTATGTTAACTAAAATTAGTCAGGAGGAGAAAAACAAATCCTGCATATTCTCGCATGTGTGGAGAGAACTGTGTTTACCAGAGCATGGGAAGGGTACAGGGGAAAGAAGGTGGGTTAGTATGTTCAGGGTTGCTTTAGGATAGGAGGAATAACTTCTAATATTCTGTAGCATAGAAGAACAACTATGGTTGACAACAATTAACTGAACATTTCAAAATAGCTAGTAAAGGGCTGGAATTGTGGCTCAGGAGTAGAGTGTTTGCCTATCACGCTTAAGGCACTGGGTTCAAAACTTAGCACCACATAAAAATACATAAAACAAAGGTATTGTATCTATCTATAACTAAAAATAAAAATAAAAAAAAGATAGTAAAAAGAATTTTAAATGATCCCAATATAAAGAAGTGATATATATGTGAGTGATGAACTTGCCAATTACCCTGATCTGATCATTACACACTATATACCTGTATTGAAATGTCACACTCTACCCCATAAACATGTGCAATTACTATGTCAGTTAAAAACACATAATAGTAATATTAAAACTTAAAAATGATTCCTATATTTGCTGACAAAGAAAATGCTTCTAGTAAGATTACCAGGGCATTTCACTCACCCAAGGACACCAGGCTTCTGTAGGTCTCCAGCATCACATCCCTGTAGAGGATCCTCTGAGCATCATCCAGGTCCTGCCACTCCTCCCAGGTGAAGTCCACGGACACATCCTCGAAGGACACCATCCCCTGTAATGGTACATGTCTCTTTAGCCCAAGCCTTCCACCCTGGGTCAGAAAAGGAATATGGAGCTCACTCTTGTGTGTGAACAAGTATCTTAGGTAAGATGCAACTTATGTTGTGTGTGGTGGTGCACACCTGTAATCCTAGCAATTTGGGAGGCTGAGGCAGGTGAACTGCCAAGTTCAAAGCTAGCCTCTGCAAATTAGTGAGACCCTGTCTTGTAATTAAAAAAAATACTATTAAAGAATTCTTATAGATTCATAACTATTCTTTTTTTCCTAGCAAGAACAGGATGAATACGATTCTACTCCTGAAAAGAGCTGAATCCAGTCTGAAGACATAAACACATATTAGGGATAATGTGTTAGTTGAACTAAGCCACATGTTCGGCATAGAACAGGGCGATAAAGAAATAGAAAATGACAAAACCAGATTGTTACCAGGTTGAACTTCACTGTTATATCTTCTATCTGAATTCTCATGAATATGAAGCAACAGAAGTCAAGATGTGAAAGCCACAAAACATGCAGGTTAATGGAACTACAAACAACAACATATACAGGTGAATATTCCTGTGTGAGTTGACCAGTGAAATGTGTTCAGATAACTCACAACAGGGTGCTTTTGCATTTCAACCCCTAGCACCATTCCAACGCCTTAAATTTCATGTGCCCACTGTTGGCAAATCACTTACAAATTAAAGTACATAGTCATATTTCCCTCCCAAATTCAAAAGATATACTAGTGTCCACATAAAAGTGAGCATCACCCACTTCTTACACAGCATGTAAATAATGAGGGGTCAGTAAAAAGTTGTAAGTTACCTGAAAAGGTGTGTGGTGAAAGGAGAATGCAGAAGGACTCAAGGGAGAGCTGGGCAGTGCGGGTGTGGGGACACAAAAACAGAATCAGGAGTAGAATTTGGTGCTTATTTGTTATGCCTAGAGTGGAAATGGGAGTCTACTTCCAAGGTGTCTGGGCAACAGCTAGAAAGGAGCTGAGTGTAAACTAAAATTGAGGGAAGAGATAATGACTAAGATGGGATGAAATGTGAGCACAGTGTTCAAGTCTCTGCATCGACATGTGGGGAAGGCCAACTGGCAAGTGAATACTGGCTCTAGAGCTCAGAGGAGAGATTTAAAGTGAGGATAAAGATTCAGGAAACAGTGACTACAGGGCAGCTAAAGCCTCTGGAGTGGGTGGAATGGCTCAGAAAGAACTGGGAGACAAAAGTTGTGTTTTTTAAGATGTAGTCGTGTTTGTCATGGTGTCTCAGCCCGCTGGAGACTGGGTTGGGAGGGCATAAGTAGGACCTATCTCACACTATTTTTCCATAACAGGTTTTAAATCAACCTATCTATACCTGAGAACATGATGCTTCCATTAATATAATGTTAAAACTAGGTTACTGGCTTAGGGAGAATGGATGTCCTTACGATGTATAATTTTACTGTCCATGAATATGGTAGTCTTTTCATTTGCTCAGTTCTGTTTTGCATCCTTTACTTTTTTCCCTTTCATATACTCATATATTTTTCTTCTTAAATGCATTGCTAGGTTTTTGTTTTTTTTTTTGCTTTGGTGTTTCTGTTATTGTATTAATGTTCTCTTGAACATGAGGATTTTTTTTTCTAATGATGATTTAATAAACAAATTGCAAAAAAGAAGGCGGCTTCAAAATCCATCTTCTAGACTGAAAGCTCTTGAGACTTAGGTTTTATCTCCTCTATTATTGAAAGATGTCCAAGGAGGATTTTTGGTGGAAATATGATAGAAGTTAAAAATGACAGATCTCAAAACACAAAGGGAATTCCCCCTGAAAACCACTGGTTGAAATGAGAAATGTTATTTCTCACCCAAGTACAAAGTGGTACAAGTTTTCTGAGAGACAATTTGGCAAAATGATTCAAGATTTCTAAAATTCAAATTCCTTTTAATCAGGAAATTATATATTTAGGTGTTTTTCTGTGTAGTATGATTCCACCTTATTCTATATCCAAATCTATAAATTTCTATCTATATTTATATATAGCACATAAAATACCAAAATGTTAACAGTGGTAGGTTGAATAAAGTTCAATTATTTACATTTTCATTTCATTTTTAAATATGGAACATATTTTTCTTGTGTGATTTTCAAAAATGGCAGATTTATTATAAAAGATTCAGATTCAGAGGCCAGGATAGAGTACGTGGCTAGGATCCTGGGTTCGATCCCCAGCGCAAGTGAACAAACAAATGAATAAATAAAAGATTTATGCCAGAATTCCTACTGAATGTTTCAAAATTTTGCTTAAGATTTCCAACAAGCTACATGGTTACCTGATCCCATCTCCCCAAACCAAGCTATCTGATTATCTGATCCCAGTTCCTATTCTTTTGTTGTTGTTGTTATTATCTTGTTGAATGTTAATTTATTGAATGTTCTTACTGGAATAGTTTTGAGGATACTCTTTTTTGTTTTTAGGTATAAATTACAAGGGTATCATCATAATCTTTCTCATTTTTGAGTTTCTCTTTTCATTTAAATTAATTAGTACTTTTCCTACAGTGGAAAATAGTCATAGTGAAGCAGCAACTTCACCCTTTCTTGCTTCCCTGGTCATGCTGCCTTTTAGGCCTGGAGATTTACATTTATCATGTTAAAAAGAATGTCCTGAGTTCTGTTATTGAGGGTCTTATTTTTTAGATACCTTCTGCATATCTATGTGGATCATAGGATTTTTTTCTATAGAATGATGAATACAATAAAATACATTAATTGACTTCTTAACATTGACCTTTTCTTAATTCCCAGAACACATATTTATAAATCTTCAGTTTTCATGGCATGTTTTTCTCCCTTCCTTGCTGTTCATGTTCCCGTAGGTTCCATCAGGTTTCCATTCTTCTTTCAGTCTCTCAGGTTCTCTCTGAGCCATTTTACCCATTCAGGTGGCTTCAGCTGTCCCTGAGGTCTTGCTGCTGTTAACGTCTTTATCTTTTCCTTAACCCTCTCTTAGGTTCTCTGAGTAATTTCACCCTCAGGAAGCCTAGGATCCAAGGGCCAGTGTTTAGTCCTGAGAAGGTATCCCTATCCACTCCCTGGCTTACACAGCTACCTTCTTGATGTATCTTCACACAGTGGAGGTCACCAGTCCTATGAGGTTAGGGCCAGCACTGATGGCCTCATTAAGCCACAGTTACCTCCTAAAAGCCTCATCTCCAAATGAAGTAACATTAGGCTTTAGGAGTAGGCTTCATCATATAAATTCCTTGGGGACACACTTCATCCATTGCATTGTTATACCTTTCTTTGAAAAAAGTTTAAGTACCCTCTTGCAGTGAAATTCAAGCAGGCTTGTATTTCCTCATTTGCTTTTAGCTGATCAAAGGCATTTGGATGAGGTGAAATGTGATCTCAGAAGTTGTAGGAGCCACACACAGGTCTCTACTATCTCCCTCTTTCCTGAGGGCTAACAATGCTACAAAAAGAAATAATCCTCTCTCTGGTACTCTGAAGCAAAGAGCAACAAACACTTCTCTGACCCTTCAAGCATAGGAACTATAAGTCAAAAAGAAACATTTGCTTCTAATCTATCTAGAAATATTAACACCACAACAAAACAAAACCAACACCATGAACAATGACAATGACCAAGACAAAGCTGGTGATCCATGCTTTCTTAAAGCTAATTGAAGGGGCTAAAACAGTACCAAGTGGCTCACTACCTACCCACAGTGCTACTTAAGCAGCTGTCACTCATGAACTTACTTAGAATGACAGCAACTATGCAATATATTACTAAGTCATGTGTTTACCTACAGCTCAAGGAAAATAGGCTGAAAAGTAGAATGATAGCAGTATATTTCAGTTACTTTCATTATTTAGGAAAATACCATAATGCCGAATTCATGAAAGAAAAAGCCACAGAAAAGGCAGGAATAAAAAAGAATAAGGAACTATTAGAAATGTGAGGACATGTAAGATTCCAAAACTCTGAAAGTGTTTTTCATTTCTTATTTTACTATATAAAAAACTTTTAAGGTTGTCTCTAACAGTTCTCACAGAAAAACATACACAAATGCCTTCAAAATGTAACAAATCTCTTCATGATAAGTAAAAAATTATTTTATGACATTGTTAAGACCTATGAATAGATTAAATTTACCTCCAGAGGTAAAATGGAACAGATTTTGAATGAAGTCCTCCTAGGAAAACTGAGGCTGAAAAAAACACATTAACGTTGGGGGAAAAACCCCACAAAGCCAAATCTCAAAAACAAACAAACAAACAAACAAAAACCCAGAAATAGGTGAAATGATAAAGACATAAATCTATCTATGCTTTCTAAGAGTCATAACATCATAAAAACAGTCAACCTGGCATAGTGGAGCATGTATGTGGCCCCAGTTACTCTGAGGTACAGCTGAGGCAGGAGGATGCAAGCTCAAGGCCAGTCTAGGCAACTTATGGAAACCCTATCTCAAAATTTAAAAGGGTGGGGGAGGCAGCTCAGTGGTAAAGCACCTCAGGTTCAATCCCCAGTACCAAAAAACAAAACTACCACCAAACCAATCAAACTGAAGAAAAATTGATGGTGGGTTAAGGCAAAAAGGCTTTTAAAAAAATTTTTAAAGTTTTAAAAATTTTTTAGCTTTAGGTGGACACAATGTCTTTATTTCTATGTGATGCTGAGGATCGAACCCAGTGCTTCACGCATGCCAGGTGAGCACGCCACCACTTGAGCCATATCCCCAGCCCCCCAAAAGGCTTTTTAATGATATGAACAGTAAGTATGTCTAAAGGGCACCCGAGCTGGGTGCAGAGGTGCACACCTGTAATCCCAGTGACTTGGAGGCTGAGGCAAGAGGATCAGAAGTTCTAGACTATCGTTAGCAACTCAGTGAGACCCTGTCTCAAAATAAAAAATAAAAAGACTGGGGATATAGCTCAGTGTTAAAGTGCCCCTGGGTTCCAACCCCACTACCAACCAATAACAAAAAACTAAAACCAAACCCAAAA